CCCCAAAACCCCAAAACCCCAAAACCCCATGAGATCAAAATAATATCAGGTAATTAGGTAATCAAATATATTTGGATTTAATCATTAGATAATCTCGTCGTAGACTAAGAATTAAATGTAGAATGTTCTAATTCTTTGGGCTTCAAGAGCAATATTATAAGTACTTATGTCACTAGGTTAAACTGGCTGCTTAATAAAATCATCATCAACACCTTTCCACTAGATTTTATCACTCTGCATATAAGAATACAGTTCTGTACCCAATAAAGAAGTCTCACTGATGATAACTTATGATACTTCCTCTCCATTGTTAGCAAGTCTAAAGATAGTTTTGGCCATTTCATCAATCTAAAGGTATGGCACCTTTTAGCTCTAATTCTGAGCTAAGTCAAATTTGTCAGCTATGTTTTCAAGTCTAAGGATTACAGAGCTTCTAGACATCGGAAATATCTCAATTTTTCCAGTTTCAGGGAATCCAAACTAATCTCTGAGCTCTTTGCCGCTTGGCAGTCTCTTCATATCTGGGTCAATCAACTTTGGATTTAAGTTGTAGTTAAAGTTGAAGAAGTACTAGAGGGGCTCGTCTTGGTGAACTTACTTTGCTCTCTAAGCTGAATGCTCATGGCTCATATTAAACACATGAAGGTAGTAATTGCTTGTCACCCATATGCCTTAATCGTACTGGTTTGTCTCATTAAGTGGTTCTCCCATTCCTCTACGATCGTCAACATACATTCTTCTGTTATGCATTAACTCAATCCTACCTGGTTTCAGGACAGACCCTCCTTAAGGCCTAGAGTTCATGACAGTCATTTAAGTTTGCTATTTAGCGTCTCTTACAGCAATGGCGGAATTAATGGGATAGTAGTTTGGAGTGACGCTGTCAAAGTTAGAGAAATTCCAAGTAGGTCTGTAGTTTAGCACTCTCTTTTGCATCTCGAGAGCATTAGAGTCAGTGTAAAAAGTGCTGTTATTATCTAAATCTACTATTCTGAAGTTGACTGTAACCTCCTATCCTTAAGTTGTTAATGGAATCGACTCAGTTTTAACATTCCACTCTGAAGTTCTCGAATATTTGTAGAGTCTGATTTTAACAGTTGCTCTTTGTTTGCTTTCAGGGTCGTTGTATACTAGTGTTATTTGCTGAATAACATCTGACTTCATAAAGTAAACTGAATCAATCTTGCTGTAGCTTAGGGAGTCTGGAGTAAATGAATCTGGGGCAAATATGTATACTCCGCTAACTTATCTACCTGTCCCTTGATAGGATGGCCAGTATCTTAGGTCGAAAGATAAAGTAAATTCTTGTTCATATTCTTTCTTCTCTAGAGAGAATTCTGCACCTATATCTTAAGCATATCCTCCATAGGTTAGACTTTCATACTGATTTTCAATAGTAATATCCCCTTATGTTTATTTTTGTACTTCAAGATTTGCTTCAGCATCATAAACAATAGTTATAAGTCCAACTTAGTGCCCATCAATCTCACTTTCTACATAGAGCCAGCAGTTCTTAACAGTTGATCCATCCTCTTGAGTCTCATCTTCGCAGATAACAGCAGCATTTGCATTCTCAAAGACCATCTTACTTTAAGTTTAATTGAATCTTTTGACATCAATGTTGGCATGAGGAACAGCAATGCTGACTATATTTTATGTCAATGCAGACGGATTATAAACACCGACAACCATGTTTAACTTGCTATCTGTAGAATGTTTGGAGATTGGACATTCTAGGTACGTATTATTCTCTCTAAAGCACCACTCCCAATCTTGATTAGCATTTACTCCAGCCAAGGCTTAAGCAGCTTCTCCAATAATCTTAGAGAATAGCTGGTTGTTACTTTCAATTGAGGAAGCCATTCTTTTAGCATAGTTGTTTGCTACTGCTTACTTTCCAGTACCAGGAGCAGCATCATGATGCTAACTGATACCCATGACATCGAGCATCTGATCCTTTTAAGCTAGAACATTATTTACTCTAACTTGATCTACATCCTCGTTAACTACTTCAACACTATATAGTTTCATCGATGCATGAGTCTAGTGACTGCCTTTTCTTATAAATTCTTTGTCGTTCGCTCTGCTAGAAAAATATCCAGTCCAGAAAGAATCATTCCTATCAGCATATGGGAACATATCGTCGTACTTAGTTGGCCACTTCCTGTCCAACTTGTTTAAAGCATTGATATATTAACTAGGAGTGGAATACAATAGAGTGACATTGCTGTATCTATTGTTGAAGTACTTGATTAGTCTATCCATAGACTTGAAATTCCTTTTGGCATTAGCATACTTGAAATCTTCCCCCATTACTTACATTATGTGGTTTGTTGCATAATTTGCACTCACTTAAGTAACCCATTGCATAAACTAAGCAGACTTAACATCAGCATTAAATGTGGACAAATCTGGATCGTCTACAAAGGGATCATCAGTAGAGTCACTATCATAATCAAAGTCTGGAGGTGACCTGTACCCGTAGTACAGTGAATGAGTAAAAACCTATTTAGTTGAGCCGAAGTGATCGAAAAACGGTCTCCAGATAAATTCCATTTCCTTATCTTTTAACCTCCTATCTCTATCTTAGTAATCTAGTCTAGAGAAGAACCAGGCCTCAAATCCCATATCAGCGAATAGTCTTACATTAGCACTACTGTGACCGAAAGGATCAATGTGCCAGGCTATTCTCGGCTTGACTCCGAATTCATCGAGTAAGAATTAGTTCCCAATCAGCATATTATTGATCATATCTTCATAATGAGTGCAGGCTTCATCATGCATTGACCAGCCTCCGTTTAAGAATTCAAGTCTTCCTTCTTTAACAAGCTTCCTCACATCGTCTTTTCTTTGTTCAGTTTGACCTTTCCACCACATTGTGAGGAATTTCATTTCAACGTAGCTGAATTTCCTATCAGGGTTTTCTAAAAGTGCATCAATAGTTGTGTCCAAGATCAACTCCACATTGCCAATTTGAATATCATATCTAGACCCAGCGAAGTACTCATCAACTGTTTTTAGCCATCCAACATCATCATGGGTATGAGGAATCAAGTGAACGTATAGATGATCAGGCCCTTTTTCCTAGAACTTTTTATCTTTGCCTTGGACTTGGTCTTTATGCAAGAACGAGTTCAGAGTATCTTTAAAGTTACTACTAGATTAGACTGATAGTGCAAGAGACAATAATGTCACTATGCTCAATTTTCTCATCTTAAATGGATATTATTATAAAAATATTGAAAAATCTAATATAATTACTTATGCTATGAGGGGTTTTGGGGTTTTGGGGTTTTGGGG